GTGTGTTTCCACTCAGACAAGGTATTACCTATACACACAGCTTGGGTTCTATTGGTCAGAAAACACTGACTTTATCCAATCAGATCAGCACAGGTTCCACACCAAGAAGTGGAGTTCGTCTATAAGTATATGATAATCTAACATATCAAATCCCTTTGAGAAGTCTGAAAAGAAGATCGGTACACAGGAATTTCCGAAAAGGTTAAGAAAATATTAATAATAATTTAAATAAAAATATGAGTGGTCGAGGAATACAATAGCTGAAAACTTGTATAAAAAGGTAATATAAAAATAAATGTGAAAAGATTAAATTCAACTCGTCGGTCACTGGTCTAGCCCCTGATGAAGACTAGTTTGGACTAGTCGAAAATAAATAAATAAATAAAAATAAATTTGTAATCATTCGCTGGCCTTGCCCTCAGTTTTCAGTGTTATTTTGTATGGCTGATCCTGATCTACAACAACATCCGGCTTTCCCTCGCTGCTGTTCGTCTAGTGCTCCTGACAAGACTTGTTCGCGACTTGTTGTGATACATATTTTGCCCAGATAAATTATTAACATCAGATATTTTTTATAGGTGAGTTCCACAGAACCAGAGAACAGTACAAGTCAGGACACCACTCTTGATCTAAGAATAACTTCTTCTGGACTGTAAAAGGTTTGATCCCAGGAGTCATTTCAAAAGTAGGTTGAGTTTGATCGTCCGGGTGAACGTAGTCCTCAATAGGACTGTTGTTGTTGACAGTGACTGACGTTTCGGCAACCTGTGCGGTAGTCATCTTCAGAGTCAAAGTGAGTTGTATCACGTCAGTTGATGGTATTATACTCTGGTTATTGATCTGATTGGTCAAATACGTTGCGATGTTATTGATCGTCTGTCAGTTAAGCCGTGATGTTATTGGCTATGAAGAATCGTAATCAGTAATTGGTGCGTTTCGATCCATCTATTGTCACAGTTAAACAGTCGTCTATTGTTAGTCAAATTGTCAGTTCTCCAGTCGTTCTCTCGTAGTTAGTTTTGCGTTTTTTCTAGTTAGTAAACCAGCTTTCTAAAGTAAGACGTTGATGGTAGTCTGTAGAATACGTTATACATGTCGCAGAGTCCCAGTCAATTTGATGTTTCATCTGTAAATGGTGCTCAGCAATGTGATTGTTGACGTCACCATTCCTCGTCGCTCGTTTGTGTTCGGTCAGTCGCGTGCTTAGGTTTCTGCCGGTTTCACCAATGTAAGAAGCCTAGCATTCGCAGCATTTGATCTTGTATACTGCTCCCTGTCTGTCCTCCGGTTTGTTTTTGTCCTTGACATTAGTAAGCAGTCGCCGTAGAGTGGTTATCGGTTTGTGTGCAACACGTATATTGTAAGGTTGTAACTGCCTCCGCTGGGATTTCGCCCAGAAGGCCAAATCCCGAGGAGGCACTCTAGTAACTCGCGCGTATATCGAGGAAAGTACTTACAGTTTAAAAATACAGTCATACAGTCAATATAGAAAAAATCTCGATTTGCTTGAACAGGGGCCGCGAGGAACCGGTAGGTAATGATGACGTTTCTACTGTTTGCGCCCGCAAGTACTAAAAGGTTAGGATGACGTAAAATACAAAAAATCCCTAAGGAACAGCTTACAACAGGTAGATTTGTGACATTAATTGTGCGGTCACAGTTCGATACTCTTTTGCGTTACGTGTTATCAGTGACATTCTGTGGAGCAGTTGTTATGAAAGGTATGGAGCAAAAGACACTCGTTAAGCACAGATGAAGTTGTAAGGTGCGTAGAACAGTGTATATCTTAACACTAAGTGAGTTTTTCCAGACACGAGTTCACAAATCTTTCATTGGAAACCTTCAGCTGAACCTTGCCACCAAGGCACCGTTTACTCCGTTTTTTTGTGGATTTAATTAACTTTTTGAGTGGTATAAATTAACGCAGATGACGTCATGCATCTCATTAAGATGGGAAGATGTCATAGTTTATTTTTAGCTGGCAAGGAACAAGTGACGTCAGAATTTCCTAGAGTTGACGTCATCAAAAATGTTGAGATCATAATCTATAAATAGAAAAGTGATATCATGTCCCTACTTGGTCATGATGATGTCATATTTATTCAGGTAAGATGATGTCAGGGTTTATTTTTACCTGCCAGTTTTTTCTATTGTTTTGAAACACATAAAATGGCGTTCCTTATTCAAACGGTCATTCACGAATTGTCCGAATAAGTCATGAATTTCAATCACTTTACCACTTTCGATTTTGAAGTTCCCCCGGAAATTTTTGAACCATGGGACGATTGGGATAATGAGTATGAAACAGGTATGTGCTCTCTGCTTCTCTGTATTTTGAATGAACGTTCTCTCTCTCTCTCTCTCTCTGGTCGAGTGTTATTTCCAACTTAACCAATTGTTACTTTTTAGGGTACTGGACGGCCTCACTTAAGCGAAATACAGAGTGGAGCGGGCAGGGAAACGACTAGCAGAGGTAAGGTTTACAATAATTTATTTACCTTTGGTTCAACATAATTTATTTACCCACAGAGAGTTCTCAGAAGTTTAAATCTCTCTCGTGAACTAAAATAATGAAAAGATACAAATAGAGAGAAACAAAAAAATTAAGAAATTGTAAAGATAAAACGTGAAATACATAAATTTAGCAGTAGTTAAATGGTTCTTGCATGTTTACAATTATATTTAGCAGAAAGAGCTACAAAAGTTAAGATAGATTCGATTCAGATGGATAGTCTAAATGAAGTCAGATTTTAAACTTGATGGACTTTACTGTTTAACTTTTTACAAAAAAAAAAAGAAAAAAGAAACAACTTATGGTATAAATATAGGAATTATGAAACCATGCGGTTGAAAGGTGTTTTTTACGAAATTTAGGACAAGAGTGCGCAAATAATACTTGTCGCACTGCATCTTTAAAAAGGTTTGTAAATCCGTCGTTAATACAACTTATAATTTTACAGGATCAAGTAGACTCTACTCCTTCTAAAATGCCACGCTATCCAATTCTTAGAAAGCGACACGAATGTTCCCTCTGTGGGCGAAAGTTTAATCGTAGGAGATGTCTTAAAACGACATGTGAAACAAGTTCATGAACGCCGAGCGGCTCAGCGGGAATACATATGTAATACCTGTGGTGAAGTTTTTCAAAATCTGGCTCCATTTCGAGCACATGGAAAATCAGCACACAGTAAACCTTCTACGTCTGCCTAACGTCCGCGCCAAGACGACTCAGGTAGGAAGACTCTTTTGCAATAACAAATAACATTTTGTGTAAATGATAAGTGCTATGTAAATTTCCTTCGCAACGCTTAATAGATAGTAGCATATGTTGAAAAAGTGCTTTATTAGCCTTTGTTTGCAGTACCTTTTTACACAATACCTTACGGAATATAATAGAAGTTATACATTGGTGAACACTTCTTTTGTCCCTAAAACCGTACTTCTTAAAGGCTTAAAATTAGGGCCATTTTAACCAGGAATCATCGTGTGGCTTACATAAAGATCACTCCCCTTTATTCCAATGTTGTTTTGGAAGACTATGTCTACTCTGAGGTGTGATTTTGGCATGTAAAGCTGAATCTTGACACCCAAAAACTGCCTGATCTCACGTTTTCCCAGTATATTACAAAGGCCTAGACCGGGAGTCAAATGAGAGGGGTTTTTTTAAAAAAAATAATAATGAATGAATGAATGAATTGAGTAAACAATTTTCGTTGTAATTTAGCAGCCTTTGTTTCTCGAGTAAAAAAAACTGCGACTTTAAGAAATGTCAGAGGTAACGTCAAAAATTGCTAATAACAATTATGTCTGGTTTTCCATATATTCCGCTTGAGTGTCACCATATTGTTTTGTAATCGGGGGTTGAATGGTAAGTTGGTGGTAAGTTCACGATAAATGAAATAAAGCGTAATTGTATTTTGAACACATTAGAGATATTCTATTTACACATCCTTTATTTTCCTTCAGAGCGAAAAACCAAGAAAACAAAGTCAACTCCTATAAAAAAAAAACCAGTCAACTCCAAGTTCTAGTTGGCAGCAAGAGCCAAGATCTATCACCGATCTCCCTGAAGCACAACAAAGTCTCGTTCCCGAATACCGCAACCACTGGCATCAAATACGCACTCATTTTAGTTGCAAAAATCGTATTTTGGTTTGTCCTCTCTCCAGCCTCAAGAATTATCACTCATTTGAATAACATTTTTACTGACCAGTCCAAGGTGTTTAAGCTGAATGTGTCTTTTGGTTTCATTCTACGCAACAATGAGACTGGAGCACTTCAATATTATTATGCCTCCAGAAATACTGAGCGATTCTTTGAAGCGTCCTTTCAAATTACCACCGCAGCTGACCTTCAGCAAGTCCGTGAAGCATTGTTAAACCTTGACGTCTTGGAATGGGTACGCCAGCGACGCCCCAACTCCAAATGGGTCGTAGAACAGGTGACCAATCTAACCTTTTTCGTCACCAAGCTACGAGGACATCCTATAGGGAGAGGTACTTACTTGCCTTCCTATCTGGCCGAGAACCATGGTTTGGTCGTCTTGGATCGCAATCACGATAATGGAAATATCTACAGCGACAATTTGTGCTTTTTTCGGGCTTTGGCACTCCACAACGGTTGTCACCAAAAGAATCTAGAGCGGGATGCACAACATTACTGCGAGCGATATAGAGAATTTTTTCCAGAGAAAAAGAAATTTTGTCGTGTAAAGCTGAAAGAACTGATCGACCTAGAACACCTATATGAAGTCAAAATTTTTGTCTATTCCCTCGAACCCACTAAACCCGATGGAGAGGAGAGGGAAGAAGACATAGAAAAAGTGGTAGAGGATTTTGCTCCTGAGATCGCTGTGCAGTTGATTCAGCGCTCCCTTTGCCACTACAACTACGCTGTACCTCAACCTGTACCAGAATCACTTTTCCTATATTAAAGATTTAAAGAAGTATGCCAATACCTACAGCTGCTCGCGATGTGGAACATTGTGGAAACATGTTGGTATGTTAAATCGTCACGAGCGAACCTGTGAAGCGAACGTTAGTTACCAGTTTCCAGGAGGTGCTTACAAGACCCCACCAACCATCTTTCAGTTGCTTGGAGACGAAGGGTTGACTGTTCCTGAGCATCTCAAGTTCTTCCCCTGTAGAGTTACCTTTGACTTTGAGTGTATGTTTAGACCTGAGACAGACCTTAACAATACAGAGAAACTGACTTGGGACGCTAAACATATACCCCTCAGCGTGAGTGTCTGTTCCAACGTTCCAGACTACGACCAACCCAAGTGCTTTGTGTCAGATGGGGACTCTAAACAACTCGTCAAAGAGATGTTAGAACACCTCGTAAGTGAAAAGGGTTATGACCTGTTAAGAAAAGAATTTATTTTTTTTGAAGCCATCGACCGAATGCTGCAAGACCTACAGCAAAAATCAGAAGCTGGTGACCCTTCAAAAACTAACACAGTAGAAAACCTCACACAGGAAGATAGCGATGATGAAGGAGAAGATCTCACGGACACAGATATTGAAGAGGAAGAAGACATCGAGTCTGAAACCGAAGAAGATCGTGTCTTTATTGACGATATACGTAGAAGAACAAGGTGCCTCGTTTTACAGGGCCTTAGATCGCGAGCACGAGAATCAGTGTGAAAATGATCACGAGTGTGCTTATGACAAACCAGAGGACAACAGCCCAGAAGCTAAGAAGAAAAAAGTGCACCCTTCAGAGAAACTACGAGGTCGTTTCCAAGAATATCTACAAGAACTTCCTGTCCTGGGCTTCAATTCTGGTAAATATGACTTGAATGCCGACAAAGAATTTCTGTTTTCTGTCCTGGTCCAGAATGAAGGCGTTCAGTTTACTATCAAGCGTAAACACAATTTCATGTGCCTAAAGACCCCACATCTTCGCTTCCTCGACGTCACCAACTTTCTTGCTCCCGGTTTCAGTCAAATTTCTGAAGGCCTACGAGTGTCCTCAAACCAAGGGGTTCTTTCCTTATGAATGGCTGGATTCTCTTGAGAAATTAGAACACCCTTCCCTTCCACCTCACGAAGCCTTCTTTTCTACGTTAAAAAACAAGAACAATTCTGACGAAGACTGCCAGTACTGCCAACAAGTCTGGACGAGCAATAATATGCAGACCTTTCGAGAATTTCTCATTTGGTACAACAACCTAGATGTCCAACCCTTTTGCGAGGCCCTGGAAAAAATGTGCCCCTACTGGAAAGATAAAAAGATCGACATGTTAAGACAAGGTATTTCTACTCCCGGTGTTACCTTGACGTACCTCTTTACCACCCTGGAATCTGTCATCGTCTTCATTCTGTTTGACGAAAAAAACAAAGATCTCTACTATCTCTTTAAGAAAAATATGGTGGGTGGCCCTAGTATCATATTTCATCGATACCACGAGGCGGGAAAAACCAAAATCAGAGAAAAAGAAATGGAGGATAAAGGAAAACAAGCAAAAACCTGTCAAAAGATTGCTTGATACGATGCCAATACTTTATAGCTATGGGCCATCATGCAAGACATGCCCACCGGATCATTTACAAGACCCAGAGAGAAAACTGGCTTCAAGAGAGAAAATTCTTCCAGGACGGCAACCGAGTGGTTAGAGTGGAAGGCACATGAAGGAGGAATTTTTATACGCCACCAAATGAACAATACAGAAAAACGCGTTGGTGAAAGAAAAATACCAGTGGATGGTTTTCACGGTCCTTCGCAAACAGTCTTTCACTTCCATGGCTGCTGGTGGCATGGGCATATCTGTCATCTTGCTAAAGGAAAAGAAATGAACGAAAAGAGAAAAAGACCAATGGTGGAGTTACTAGAAGAAACCAAAGAAACCTCCAAGTACATCAAGGCTCAGGAGTACAATCTTGTGGAAATCTACGAGTGCCAGTGGCGTAGAATTAAGAAAACCAACTCACAAGTTCAGCAGTTTCTTAACTCCAGGTTTAACCGCCTTCTTGATCATCACAAGACTCTGACACAAGACCAGATCTTAAGCGCTATTAGAAGCGAATCCCTCTTTGGAGTGGTCGAATGTGACGTTCGAGTACCTGATGCACTAAAACCTAAGTTTGCAGAAATGTGCCCCTTTTTCAAAACATAGAAATTTCAAGAGAAGATATTAGTCAGCACATGCAAACCTTTGCTGAGGAAGAGAATATCATGTCACAACCTCGAAGAAGTCTCGTTGGTAGTTATTTTAGTGAGAAGATCTTATTGGCCTCCCCACTCATTAAGTGGTAATGGAGCATGGTCTGGAAGTGACTCATATTTATCAAGTAGTGGAGTATACACCCTTTCCCTGTTTCCAACCCTTTGGGGAAGCTGTATCGGATGCTAGACGGGCTGGAGATGTAGACCCAAACAAAGCCATCATCGCAGACACTATGAAATTGGTAAGTCGTTCTCCTATTGAGGGAAAGGAGGAAGAAATACGTTTTAAGGTACAAAAAACTCATGCCAATGTTGCCTTTTCGTAGGTGGGGAACTCGCGTTATGGAAAGACGATCACAGATCGAGAACGCCATCAAGAAGTCCAGTTTGTTGAAGAAACTAAAGCGTCCCGCCTAATAAACAAACCCTTCTTTAGACAGATTAAACAGATTGATGAAAATACGTTTGAATTGCAATCTTGCAAGAAAAAAATCAAGTTGAACCTTCCCATGCAGATAGGGTTTTTCGTTTATCAATAGCGATTTGAATCTTACGAAGTCAAAATAAAACTAAAGTACCTATTCATAGAACTAGCATCGCTAAAAGTCATAACACTTTACCTGTGGCTGAGACGGATATAGCGCTAGCGTCCGCAATCGGTAGAAAGTTGAATAAAATCAGAGTCAAGAGAGGAATTTGAAGCAGACAAGGCCAATTGGTTTCCACGAACGAACACTCCAGAACACAAAGCTTATGACAAAAGAACACCAGGTTTATTTAAGGAAGAGTGGTCAGGGGCAGGAATAATTGGTCTAAGTAGCAAGACCTACTATTGCTTTGGGTCCTGTGATAAGTTCAGTTGTAAAGGGGTTAACAAGAAAACAAACGACATTAACAGAGAAAAATATCTTAATGTTCTGTTGACCAAACAGAGTAGTGCAGCATTAAATAAAGGTTTTCGGGTAGTCAACAATAGCATGTATACTTATGAACAAGTTCGAGATGGGTTTTCCTACTTTTACCTCAAAAGAAAAGTGTTGGAGGATGGAGTTGCCACTATGCCTCTAGATATATAAAATTGTATTGTAAATTCATTGCTGTATTAAAAAAATTAGCATTAAAAATTATAACGTGTGTGATTCATAAATAAAACACTTTATAAAAAACGCGTTTCTTGTAATTCTCTGACTTGAGGCGCGAGTGTGTTCCCAAGCACAACTTCCCCACGCGACCTTCTCGCGTGTTCCTGAGGGAAAAAAAGCACTCAATTTCTGCCCTTTATCCCCTTGGTGCCTGTTGTGCCCTCGAAAATAAACGATAAATTTCGTGTCGCAAATAGATTTGTTCATTTTAAAGTCTGCTTTCGTACCGTTAACATGAAAAAACTAAAATGCAAGCATTGTCCTGTTCCCGGCTGTGGGTCATAATCTTTAGTTCGATCAGCAAACCATTTGGCTGAGGTACACGAGCTGTCTGACTTAGAGAGAAAATATTGGCTCCAGTTTGCTAAATTACAAAATGCCAACACGGTTCGAGTATATGATAAAGATACTCCACCAAAGTCCATTTGTCTATAAATAAGAGCAAACGCAGTTGAACCTGTCAGTTGTCAACATGGACCCAAGGTGGAAACATCTCTTTCGTGCTATTGTAGCTGGCCCCACTTGTTGTGGAGAAAGTCGGTTTGTCAAATACCTGTTGGAATCTGGAGAAGAATTAATAGACGGAGCTCCTGAAAATATCATTTGGTGTTGTGGGATATACCAGCCGGCTTACAATGAGATGCTAAGGACTGTTCCCAACATCATGCTCGTCGAAGGAGTTCCTGGTGATTTAGAATCCATAATAAACCCAACCATTCGGAATTTAGTGGTCATTGACGATTTAATGCAGGAGCTTAGAAATGATCAAAGAATTACCAATTTGTTTACTAAGGGCTCTCATCACCGAAATTTAAGCGTTATTTTCGTTCTTCAAAATATTTTTTTCACGGGGGAAAAGAAGTCAGAGACATGAGTTTGAATTGCCATTATTTGGTGATGTTCAAGTCTCCGCGGGATGGCAGTCAAGTCAGGCATTTGGCGAAAAACATGTTTCCCGGTCATGTCAAATACATGCAAGAAGCGTTTCAGGATGCGACAAAACGCCCTTATGGCTACCTGTTATGCGACCTCAAACTGGAAACGCCTACCGACTTCCGGTTGCACACAAGCATCTTCCCTGGGAAGACTCAGCTCGCCTATGTCAGAAAGGTATAAAAAAGCTCCATCTTAGTGATTGATATCAGTTGAGTATGGCCCAGCGACTAAGAAAGAACCACGATTTTCTTAAGCTCCTCGTCAAGTGTTCCCCAGCTCAACCTAAAGCAATTTTGAAAGCAGCCGACGAACGCTTTAGTAAGAACTATTTGTGGGTGTGTATCCAACGTACTTAAAGAAACAGTCCCTGTCAGTAAACCGGCAAAGAAAAAACTTCTTAAGCACAAGAAAACCTTGACTGCTGTAGCTGAAAAGAGTACCCCGCTAGACAAGAAAAAGCAAATCTTGGTACAACACGGAGGAAACTTTTTAAGTGTTTTGTTACCTCCCGTTCTTCGGGTGTTGAGCTCGCTTCTTACTTAAGATGAATCATACAAAACGCATGGTTCTCGTTCCTGAGAACACTCTGGAACGATTGCAGAAACGCCAGCAGATATTAAGACGACCTGTAACACAAACTCTGAAAAATCTGGATAGCCAAATGGGGGATATTTTAAAAAGTGAACAACTTGATGACGAGGAAAAGGCGAGGCTTTACAATCAAGTGTTGCAACGGTACTTGACTTATTACGATCAGCGGAAAGGCCATCCTCTCCATGTGAAGTTAACGACCCCTAAAACAAAAGAAACCCCCAAACCAGTTGAGAACGCAGAATATACAGAGGAAGCTTCTCCAGATAATTCTCTTCCAACAGCAGTAGAGCAAGAGGTCATGAAAAGTGTACCCAAAATTTACAAAGCTGGGTTAGACAGTTGTTGGATAAAATTAAAAAACACCAGGATGTGTTGCATTGTATTAAAAGAAACCAATCCCAGGCTCTCATGTGGTCGACCTAGATTGGAAACAGTGAGGTGGTCCGTGTTTGCGAGAGGCCCGGCGCGAATGAATGTCCCCGAAAACTTGGTTCGTAATCCCCAACGTCAGAGTGTCATAAGAGAATTTAAAGCAAGAGTGAGAGAGGAGACCCCAGAAAGTCCTTCGCGTTGGCTACCCACCCCACCTGTGACGTTATCTTCTGTCAAAAAGCAGAGGCGCAGAGTCGAGAGTCCTCGCCCTCAGGCTGTTCGATGGTTACGATTATAAATCATGACAAGAGACTTTTTTATTGTGAAACACAAAACTTTACTTTGCTCATTCAATAAAATGTGTTGAAAAGAAATTACATTGTGTCTGTTTACTGAACTTAGTGTTGTGCTTTTGCTCTTTGCTTGTTTACATCAGTACGATATTTTGGAAAACTTATAGGAAAATGTTTTTCAATAAATCGTTTAACAAGACTATCATTTTTACTTGTGTTTTTAGAAAAACGATGGAGAATAGTACTCATACTTATTTGCCGACTACGATATAAAGCAAAATACAAACAGTAATGTCCGCAGACTTTTGAATAGATGCTTTGTAATGTCACAGTATTAAGAGTCCACTGGTTAGAATTGTTGTTTAAAAAGGTAGTAAACGTTACTCAATATTTGCTGGGTGGTGATCCGTAAGAATCGAAAAATTCTCCCTCTTGCTCCTTAGTGAAATAAAACGCCACCCAATGCGAATCTGGCTTGTCACTCGTATCCACATTGGCGATAAACAGGGCTGGGTAATGTGAAACACTTGCAGGCAGCAGGTCTGGGGGATACACGCCTTGAAACACACCTCTAGTAAATTTATCCTTCTCAAAATTAAGGTCAGTTGAGTAGTGTCCGTTTTTAGTTTGTGTAGTCGAACAACACGTTGCGGTTCCCGTCAATTTCAATCACGTTTTGGAATTCAGCGTACACGATAAGGTTAACCGTATTGGCCAGTGGTTCCTTGAAATCAAGCGCAGCGCGCAGGTTACCTTGCTTTATTAGCTCAAAATGGTCACCTGAGCAGTAGTCTGGGGACAAGTCAAAGCAGAATGCTGTGTAACCAGAGCCATAATCGCTTCTGCTGATTTGATTACCTGCATCTTGGGAGAGCTTTCCAGTGCCTGAGAACAGGCTTTGATAGCCAGCTATTACATTTTGACCTACAGCTTTGTCAAAATTCAAGAACAGGGGTTTCCGAGGAATTTGCTCTCCGTCCTTATAGACACCCACTTGAGTTAGATTGTTGTGTTTGAAGTTGAACGGGTTGGTACTGTAAGTTCCATTATATGCCTGAGTATCCATTAAGACCAGGACGATTCGTTTGGGGATGTGACCCAAAAAGATGTTGTCGGGGTTAAAACTGCTAAATCTTCTTGGAATAGACAGCACTTTACAATCTATTCGGCGAACCTGGTACTTGGCGCTGGGGTGTTCTAGTGCAGCAACATGGCCAAGTATAATAGAGGAGGCAATTTCACCCTGCGAACGAACAAGATGGCTTCTGTGATTACCACCTTGAAAGTTGGAGCGGCTTCTGATGACATTAGACATAACGAGTTCTTGGCTTGATTCAGTTTGATTCTTAAATTCACTCCATTTAGAATCAACCGGTCTTGAAAGAGAATGTCGCTATGAATGGACCCCATCATATCCACAATACGACTTTCTTTAGTGAAATCATAGCGAACCTTTAACCCCTTGTTTGCGGAATCGTCTGCAGCCACAGGGTTGGCAACATCCATTTTTCCAGGGGTATCTTTGTAAAACATGGCCATAGAAAGTTGACTTGTTTTTGCTGCTTCTCCGTAGTTTAGCAAGGTTTCGATCATGGCGCGATAAGAGTAGCTATTTGTGGATGGAGAGATCAATCGCTTGTTCAAGGAAACGTCCACTTGCGAAAATTGGGAATGTAAAAACAGGTTCACGGGACCTACTTGTGTATCGGCATCTATGGCGGTTCCATTTGCTTTTGTGATCTTGGCTTTAACAAATAACTGAGTACGTGCCAAGTCCAAATACTCATCTCCGGTTCCCACCGGTTCCCGAAACATAAAATTCGATCGGACCACTGTCCGTGATGTTACTGATGGGGTGGTACTCGATCCATTGCCCTTTGGAGATAGAGGTTTGTGTTGCAGGAATCGTAAAGAGATCCAACTCTGATTTTGTACATTCCTGAGACTCACAAAGGCCATAGTTACTTCCAGAAAGAAAATTTCTCTTTGGGCTTCTTTTTGCTGCGGAGATGTTTTTGCTTTCTTGCCTGGAGGCGAACTGATTTTGGTTCCTTGCGCTTTTCTTTTTATAGCTTTTTTGCTAGCTCCTGATTGTCCCTGCAATGAATTCTGGGAAGGTAGACCGAGGGCTTGTTTCGTGCGCTTGTGGACTGCTGTTTTAATGTTATCTCCATCAAGAACATCTTGGACAACATTGACACCTGTATGTAAAGCCTTTTTTCCAATCACCTTAGCACCTTGTTGAAGATGACGCATCGCCCAGCGAAACAGGCCTCTGAATATGGACCCTAGTCCATAACCCCGCTGAAATCGAGCACCGTGAAACGCTGGTAAACTCCCACCTTTTTGTTTGGCTCGATTAACATAGTACTGTTCGTACAACTTGTGATTTGGAGTGTGGAGTTTTTTCATCTCAAAAGTACTGAGGTGCACTTTGACAAAAATGAAGTGTTAACAGCACTCTCCCAAACTCAAATGGTACAGAGTCCCCTGTGTCTGTCTTTATATCGACTTCGACGATTTCAAATTGCTTTCTGCTGACAGGTAAATATTGGGGGCGCAAGAATGATTTACTGACTCGCTCCCCGACCTTTCCTTCTACAGAAACAATTCGAAGCAAAGGTACCAATGCATCTTCAACATATTGTGACTGAATAAGATCACAGTAAATGAAAAGGTCGTGAAAGCCATACTCCAAATCCACTTGTCTTTCAGCGGTAGAGGTATTAGAAATAATTTCTTCTGGAGAAAATCACAGCAAGTATCCAATGTTATCAAAGAAAAGTTCAACGTTATTTTGTAGGTGAACAGTCACCTTTCTAGTGAACGTATCGTAGGAAAATTTTACATCGTCATTGAAACGATTTACATTCTCGATCAGCCATTTCATCTTTGATAAGATATCTTCAATGGAAGAATAGTGACCCGGTGGTATAATTAGGGCCTCCCATAATCCGGACAATTCTTGGTTCCGAAGGAAGAATCGATTACCAAAATTTCCTTGGACATTATTCCAGCTGTGAGGATAATGAATTTCTATTACCGCTACTTCCCAGTCCCCCGTCAAGCTAACAGTTTGAGGTAAACCAACATGGTACTCCGTTAATGTGTTGTNATAGTGACCCGGTGGTATAATTAGGGCCTCCCATAATCCGGACAATTCTTGGTTCCGAAGGAAGAATCGATTACCAAAATTTCCTTGGACATTATTCCAGCTGTGAGGATAATGAATTTCTATTACCGCTACTTCCCAGTCCCCCGTCAAGCTAACAGTTTGAGGTAAACCAACATGGTACTCCGTTAATGTGTTGTTGGGAAACTTATCGAGGCTGTTATTGCTTGGAAGATGCAGGTAAAACTGTGTTACCTCCATCGTATCGTGTGTTCAAATGAACATTTATTCCTGGCGTCCTTAATTTATAACTATACACAACAACATTTGTTTTCAGTTAAAATAACCTTTTTATTGGCTTCACACAAAATGTCACAACGTTGAGATATTACTTTCTGCTATCCAGCTATTAAATTTGTCTGGGTACCCTTTCCATTTTACAAACTATTCAGCTATTTCTTTACGCTTTCGATTGCGCAAAATCTTTTCAACGCGGTACACATCATCGTTCTTAATTATTTTCTGTAATCCGGGTTCATAAAACGTTCCATCTAAGATTTCACCTGCATCATCCTTTAGTTTGTAAACGGTTACTTGACACGCCATTCGTTTGTATACAGTAAACATTTCCTCCGTGAAATTAGGCAGGTAAGATTTTTCAAACATTCGCTTCACTTTGCTGATCCTAACACGATCTCCCACTTGAAATTTAAAACGCGCACGCTTTTTAACGTCATTACCATACAAAGTATCCCACACTTTAGTTTCATTCGCTTTAGTCACCTCACTCGGTTTCATTTTAATACTTCGGTGGTAAGTGTTATTGTAAGAGGATACTAATTGGGGTAGTACATTGATATAGGTGAGACTGCTTTTAGCTGTGAAATATTTGAACATCTTATTTTTAAATGTTCGGTTAAAACGCTCAACTACTGAGGCCTTGAGCCCAGAGTTTACAGTAAAAAAGTCAATGTTGTTGTCACGCAGATAAGTCTGAAACACGCGATTTAGAAACTCTGTTCCTTGATCCGTTTGTAGTTTGCTGGGTTTGCGACCAGTAAGAAAGGATCTTTTGAAAGGCTTTGACCAGTTCTTGACCTTGTTTTGACTTCAAAGGCAGCACCCAGGCATACTTGCTGGAGATATCTATACAAGTCAGTATTTATAGCCCTTGTTGTAGCGACTGAGATTTTGAAGATCGACCAAATCCGCTTGAAACTGGGCATCTATTCCAGGAACGATGACTCGGCTTCTCTTGTAGCGTCTTCGCACGGGTTTTTGAAGAGTATAAACATCCTGCTGACTCAACCAATCTCGGACTTGTTTACGCGATATCTTGTTCTTTCCTTCCTCTTTGACTGCTCTGTAAACAGCATCTAAACCACCGAAACTTGCGGGTTGATTTGGGTCGAGGTAGATGCTGGCTAGGTTTTTCTCCATCACAAAATTCCGAGTTTTGTACAACACTTCACCACCGCAGCAAGCTAATACACAACGTATGCGATTGAAACTGTGTTCAAAACCAAAAGTGGATGATGGCGGACAGCAACCCATCACTAGTGCTTACCTGAACGGAAAAAGATGTAATGACTTCTCTCTCCCTGGTGCTCCTTTATATAGCTACTGTCGAATCTGGGTGAGAGTGGGAACAAGAAAATGAAATAGTAGTTCCCATTCCTCCTCAGTTAATCCCAGCTGATCCGCGAAGTTCAAAAATACTACTAATCGTCCCCAGTTCACTTTTGAAAAGAGCTCAGAATGGAGTTGCTTTAATTTTTCGAGATTTGAGCCCGGTAGTTTAAAAAAGTTTTTTTTAAGCTTTTCCATTTCACTTGTAGATATTGTTAAATTTTTGCTGTTAAGTGGTAACAAGAAAACTTGACCCGAAGCAAA